AACTGTCCTGAGCAGCTTCTACAACTACTCCTATGTCAGCCAATGTTAAACTTGTCCCTGAGCCTAGCAATTAATATAATGTGCACTCAGGATGTGTCTATTTAAAACTAGATATATGATGGTCCAATTCTCCCCCTCATCTTCATTACCTACATGGTATTCTAAGAATTCTAACCCAAATGTAATGCAGAATTGCTGTGCACTGTTAATCTAACCTACTGTTGCATTTCAAAGCAAGAGTGCTTTATTCCTTTCTATAGTATGCAAGAACTTTGGGATCCTTCACAATGTTAGGTACTATTTCAGGTGGACTAGATAAAAACATGAGTAGTCATGGGTGGTAGGTGAAATTGCTGCTTGGAAAAGCAAACTCCCCAGCCTCTGGCCTCATTTATATTAAATCCCTGCTCTGCTCAGGCATCCACCCATCCTCACTCTCCTATCCCTTTGCCACTGTCTCCCTCATCTCTGTGCTCATCCATTCCGGCCAAATACCTGCACTCAAATGTAGCAAATGACATTTGGGGAAAAGAACACATACTTCCAAAATTTCTTGCTAAAGAAAATGGGGCATGTTTTCCACTGCATGCCAGATTGTGATTATTGGTCATGCAAAAGGTACTTACTTAAAAGCCCTAAATTTGGGAATAAAAAATGTCAGTCAATGAAACAAAGACATTATTTTAAACTAATCAGTCAGAACAGTTCATTGTGTTCATATAAAAAAGCTCATTGCTTTTAGAAAAAGGGAACACTAATTTAGTGATTTTCATAAGACATGTTTATGAAATTTCACTATATGTTTATCTTAAAATATATTTCCAAAGATTTTAGGCATATCAAAGGACTTTGTATCGTACCAAAATATTGCTTTTGGTGGAGGGTTCTCTTAAAACTAGTTAAATCTAATAGTAAGAAGTAAAAGGAAAAACTCATCTATCAAACTATCTGGAGAAAAAGGAATGTTGTCCCTTTACTTAAGGGCTCTCTTCAAGGGGGTGGTGTGAAAAAGTTTTTGTACTACAGTAGTTAAAATTTAGATAAGGTTGGTCTTTTTAAAAACTGTCTGAATATCTAAGCATTTAAGGCTAAAGCTGAATACTCAGATTGTGCATCTAAATAGCTATGCATGGATTTTTTAGAAATGTGATTCAGCAACAAACTAATAAAATATTTAAAGCAAATTTTAAACTAAGGTCCTGTAAGATATAGTAATGCACAACTGTTTTTGTAAGTCAATTCAGGGTAGGCACATGCCTGTTAAATGGTTTCATTACCACTTAAAGGCTCTTCACAGGTTCTATGTTATCCTAATAGATCTAGCAAGCTGAAAGGCCTTTCACTTTTAAATTAAAGTCATTAGTCTGCAAGCTGCATCAATCTGTTGTGGAAGCCTTCAGGAACAGTCAGTCAGAGTAGGAATAGGACAAGGGATGGGGTTGAGCATTAAGACATCTCTCAAACCCACTGCCCATATCAGGAGTTAAAAGTTCTCTTAGCACTTTCAATAGCACCTGTTTTCAGTTCCTATGTTTTTGCCAAACTTTTAAAAGATTTTTAAGATGGGTGTCTGCGTAGGCTGATTTTTAATTCCAGCTGTTTTTGTTCAGTTGTTTCTGAAAATTAGAGTAGGGGAAAACTGGGTACATGGGCACTGGTAAATTCTGGTATTTTCAAGTTGTTAGGTACTTGATTTTATAGTTTTAAGGTTCTTTGAAATGCAGGTTTTTGTATGTGAATATTAAGGTTGTGTCCAGGCCACATTTACTGAATAGGCAGCTAATAACATAAAAGCATTTAGTTCGGTCCCTGGACCATAAAAGTTTTAGATTCCAAAAGGTGAAGTGCGTGGATTGACCCTCAGAGCTAAACAGAGCCCTAATTCCCTCCAAATCAGCATGCAAACTGGGGCCTTTATTAGAAAACATTCAATTGATGCATACCAAGCAGATAGATTACCAGCTTTTGATTTTCTACTGAAACTGCAAAAAATGTTTTACATTTCTATAGAGAAACAAAAACAAAAATCCCTCCTGCTCTCCACAAGCATATGCTACCAACCTCCCTATTAGGCAGAATAACTTTGTTGAGAACATGCTTCCTTGTAGGGCATGCTGTGTTCAGACTGTCTGTTCTCAATTTTGCATTAATATTCATTTTGGAAGTCTCAGATCTGAATTAATTTTAAAACAATATTATCAGCATCATACATAGTTCCCTGACATGGCAAATGAAATAGCAATGTTATGAAAATGTTTTGCTCTTCATGTCTTCTGATTTTAAGGTTTAATGGAGACAATTGATCAGATAAGAGAGTCAGTTTTCACAAACAAATTGAAACTCATAAGATTAAATAATCCCTTTAATATAACAATCATATTCCATCTTCAAGTACAAAATTCAAACCACTAAAGCAAAATTACTCACAATTTAGCTGTCAGGTGTAAAAACTGATGATGTGAAAACAATTTACATTTTTTTTGAGGTATTGTATAATTACTCCTTAAAAGTAAAAGGATATTACACATGAACATTTTTCAAAGAAGTTTACACTTTGCAAAGCAAGAAAGCTTGGTGGCGCGCACACAACAGATTTAAATCCTTGTACAAATGAATCAGGGAATAATAAAAAAAACCACCAATACTATTTTTTTTACTAAAAACTCTGAAGTACTCCAAAAGAATAACCCAGAGGCATGCAAAATAGATAATTGTGAAACACACTCATCTGTGTAGCACATGAGAAAAAAACCCAAAACTAATGTGAGGTGGATTTAGAAATCTAAATTTTATATTTTTACTGATTGTCAATCAAATCCTTCTACACAAATAGAATGAAAAATGTAATTAAACTGCAATTAAGTTTCATAGAAGGTCTGGTAGTCACTGGCAAAGAGTGTTAAAGCAGGAGCTGGGAAATAACTGTCCTGTGGGCTGAACATAATTCTCCAGGGTTAGCTCTGGTGGGCTGCCAAATGCTTTGTTTACCTGAGCATCCACAGGTATGGCCACTCACAGCTCCCAGTGACCACAGTTTGACATTCCTGGCCAATAGGATCTGCAAGAAGTGGTGGCCCCGCCTGTGCTGCTTCCTGCAGCTCCCATTGGCCAGAAATTGCAAACTGCAGCCAATGAAGTTGCCATATCTGCAGATGCTTGGGTCAACAAAGCATCTGGTGTCTTACCAGTGGCTAACCCTGTTCAACTCTGTCCAGCCCTCAGGCCGGTTATTGCCAACTCCTGGGTTAAAGTCACCACATTTTCATAGTTTGGTGTGATTCATAAAACCACTCAAATGTTACAAGCAATTGGTGTTATTGTGCATGATCTTTTATCATGTTTTGAGGGCAAAAGGATAGAAAGCGTCTGAGTTGCTAGACCAGATGGAATTTTTTTCATTTAAATGCTTACATTTTTCCTCATAAGAACTGAAATATAAATTTCAAGGCAAATCCCATAGATCACTTAATATTCTCATTGCAACACAGAATATATTTGGCAATCAAGAGCTATAAGTAGAATTTGAGCAATGAACTGCAGTGCATTTGATTTTCTTAAGAAAATCAAAACTTGTGTCATCTACTTCCGCATGCTAAAGAGAAGAACAAGAGACTTCACACTGCTGGAGTTATAGTTAAGTAGTCTTTTCTGAATTGCTTCTACTGATCTTTCCAGTCCTCCTCTTCATCTAGGAGTTTCTGCAAACAAAAAGACAGACATGTCACAAAGAAGCAAATTAATCTTTGCATTTGGCAAGACTGGAAATTGATGTCTCAGGATGAATATCCTAAAGTTAAATTCTGAAAGGGTAAGAGACACTGGGCTCTCTTTGCAGCCCCAGAAGTTCCAGAATGCACTAGAAACACTATGGTTCCACTGCACAACAAAAAACAGGAAGAGGAGGAGTGGCATAGCTGGATTTCACATCTCAGAATAGGGATGTTAAAATGAGGTTAATTTACTAATTGAGCAGTTGATGTACCGACTACTCAGTCAATAGGGGAAGGCAGCCCAGCTCAAGCCTGGCTCACACTGGTCTCGGGCTAAACCTCGCTTCACCTCTGAAAATGGCAGTGGGAGCTGGGGGGCAGGTTTCCTGGCTCCTACTGCCTTTTAAATTGCAGAGCCAGAGCACTATTTGGTCTTGGACCTGGTATGAGCCGGGACTGAGCTGGGCTGCCTGCCCGGCTGGTGCACCCTCTGTCCGTGGCAAGCCTGGGCCCACTGCAGGCAGAGGCTCCTTTGCAGCAGCTTCTCTTGCCACCCCACCCCATGCTACTGCTGGGGGAGGGGGAAGGCGGCACTTCAGTTACGGTGTTGGGGGAGGGGGGGAAACTGGCTTTTAAGCCATCTTTCCCCAGCACCAGTTCCTGCTCCCCACCCTTGCTGCCTCTGATACAGCAGCAACAAGGGGGGGAGGGGAGGATGCGAGTAGTTGAGTAGTTGACTCAACTAAACAATAAGCCTAGGCTTATTGGTTAGTTGACTAGTCAACTACATGCTTACATCCCTATCTCAGAGCTAAGATCTATGGAGCTCTTTCCACAGGAACATGGTAGGGGTTGCAGGTGACTGAGCTAGCTGGGAGATATAGCCAGTAAGTCAGTACACAGTGCAGACCTACTAGCTACAACCACACACACCCTCAAAGGTGAGTAGTCTGTACCTATTACTATAGCTCAGGGTGTCCAAACACAACAATATTTATAAGGTCAAGAGTTATGAGATCTATGGAGCTCTTTCCACAGGAACATGGTAGGGGTTGCAGGTGACTGAGCTAGCTGGGAGATATAGCCAGTAAGTCAGTACACAGTGCAGACCTACTAGCTACAACCACACACACCCTCAAAGGTGAGTAGTCTGTACCTATTACTATAGCTCAGGGTGTCCAAACACAACAATATTTATAAGGTCAAGAGTTATGAATGGGGTTCAGCCCTGCCCCTGCTGAAACCCCTAAACTCTGGCAGGTATATCATGTAGGGCTGAAGCCCCAAGAAATCCTCTCTGTTCTGCAGAAGATACCTGCAGTCTGGAGGGTGGAAGATTGGGGGGAGGGGAGGAGGGAGTACTTTGTGAATTGCATTTAAACAAGGGATGTGAAAGGTTAACTGGTAAGCATCACCCATAATGGCGGAGACTGGAGCTGCTCCCTACCGACTGTGGGCAGGGGCAACTTCAGCCCTGTGGGGGCTGGTGTGGACAGGGTGCTCTAGCCCATCCGGAGCAGTCCTGTCTGGAGAAGCCTGCAGCTGGGAAGGGAGGCGGGGGGCTGCTTCAGTCTGGCTGTGGCAGGTGGGGGCCCACTCCTGCCCAGCCAGACTGGAGCACCCTCCCTCAACCACTTCCTTTTAAATCAGATAACCGGATAACCAATTAAATGGGATTTTGCATCCCTAATTTAAACTGTCAGAGAGCTGCATGTGACTTATAAGCTGCAATTTAGCCACCCTGGCTATAGCTCATAAATTACAGTAGGGATACAGCTTCATAGGTGTTTGGGGCCTGGATTCCAGGTTGAGGGGAGGAGGTCTATGTCCCTCAACACTCATGTTGAGCTCCTTCAGGATTTCAGATTATGACCCGTAATTGTCAAAAGTGACAAAAAACACCTAAACTACACATGGAATTCCATATTCTCTTCATTTTGAGAAATAAAGTTTGTTCATTTTGCAATACAAAAGATTACAACAATATTTAACAAAGGTAAAAGAAATCCCAAAACAAATCTCCCCCTTGAGACCTGAAAGCCGTCTGTGTACTTTCTAGAAGCTACATTATAACCCATAATAAAGATTCTACACTTAGAACTTGGTAATTTTCTTGATGTAGGAGGCAATAGAATTCTGCTCTCTCCATCACAGCACTATTGAAGCTTAGTTCCAGTGGCACATTTAAGTTGCTTAACACACACAAATGCTACAGAACTAATACAATTAACAGAAACAGAAACAAAATGTTTTTACCAGTATACATATATGATGGACCTACATGGTGCTAACGTGGGTAGTGACATTTTACAGAATTACTTCACCAAGGTTACGTCTACACAGTGTGGCTATTTCGGGATAGTGGAGGTATAAATATTTTTCAAAATAACTGGTGCGCTATTTCAGCATCCTTGTAATCCTCATTCCACTAGGGTTAAGGGATGTCTCAAAATAGTGCATTATTTCAAAATTTGGTGCTGTGTAGATGCAAAATAAGCTATTTTGAAATAGAATCAAAATAAGATACACAAATTGTATAGTGCAAATTGTGTATCTTATTTCGAGTTCAGGGTTGTGAAGACCCTAACTGAAACTGCACTTTAAGATAGTAGCAAAATTCTCAGCTTTTCAGAACTTAAAAGAGTTTTAATTTTTTAGGTGAAGGCTGAGTGTTGGCAAGGATTCAAGTGTGTTAGCAATGTTTGTGAAACTGTATAAGACCCGATTTTTCTCTCACTGAGTATATGTTAATGTAGAAATAATAAGGTTTTACTTCTTGTGAGCTGGGAGCAAGTAAAGTGGCAAATGTGTTCAAGAAATTATGTTTGATTGTAGGGTAAGTAAGGGGAGAGGTTGCAAAGTCAGGCAATTAAAATAATAAAGTTTGCCTGTGCAACCTTAGTTTGGCTCCCTTGAGTACATGAGTACATTATGTTAAGATGTTTACTTAAGTGATCATATACTATTTGTTCCAAAGGACCCCTGATTCAGCTAGTGTTCAGGACAGTCAGTCAGTCAACATGGACTTATTTGATATTTTGTTTTTATCCTCCACGTGGGTGTCATCAGCAGGGTTGGAACTTTAGATCCAACCCACAACTCTGTCACTTGAGCTAATAGAGTAATTGACAGCAGTAGTAGGCTGTCATTCTCAATGTGGATCAGCTTGGGCATGAGAGGGAATGAGACACACTTTGCCAGAGGGTTTCACATATATTTGCTGATGGCAGAGGAATGATGGCAGAGGAATTTCTATTTTTGGCTTTGGAAGAGACTATACCCCAGGCAGCATTAAGAACTTTTATCTAATCTCTCCTTCCCCCCCTCCAAACTTGACTTCTTCATAGAATCATAGGCCTGAAAGAGACCTCAGGAGCTCAATGAGTCCAGCCCCCTGCCCAAAGCAGGACCAATCCCAACAGCAAGGGCTTTGTGAAGCTGAGACTTAAAAACCTCTAGGGATGGAGATTCCACCACCTCCCTAGGTAACCCATTCCAGTGCTTCACCACCCTCCTAGTGAAATAGTTTTTCCTAATATCTAACCTAGACCTCTCCCACTGTAACTTGAGACCATTGCTCCTTGTTCTGCCATCCATAACTACTGAGAACAGCCTCTCCATCCTCTTTGGAACCTCCCTTCAGGAAGTTGAAGGTTGCTATCAAATCTCCCCTCGCTCTTCTTTTCTGCAGACTATATAAAGCCCAAATCCCTCAAGCCTCTCTTCATAAGGTCATGTGTTCCAGCCCCCTAATAATTTTGGTTGCCCTCCGCTGGACCCTCCCAATGCGTCCACGTCCTTTCTGTAGCAGGGGGCCAAGAACTGGACGCAATACTCCAGATGTGGACTCACCAGTGCCGAATAAAGCAGAATAATCACTTCTCTAGATCTGCTGGCAATGGTCCACCTAATGCAACCTAATATTTCATTCACCTTCTTGGCTACAAGGGAACACTTTTGACTCATACCCAGATTCTCATCCACTTCAGCCTCATCCTCTTCAACGTATCGCAATCCTGTCTCTTCGCCCCTCAGGTTCCTTGTCCCAGTCCAACTCTCCACTTCTCAGGATTCTCATCCCAGTCTCGTTGTTCAGCCTTCCCTGCACACTGTGTCCCCACCCAAATCCTAGTCTCATCTCCTCCTTTACAGTCTTCTTGCCCAACCAGTCTCCTCAGCTCTCAATTTTTTCTCTCCACCCTCAGTCTTAACAGACACCTTGAATTACTCTACTTATTTCCCTCCCACTTTTTGCTGTGCGTCTGCTCTCTGTATTTGAGTCAGGTGGCTTCCTCTTCAATGCTCTCTACAGCAAAACTGTGTATTTCTGAGTGTTTGTGCACCATTGATGGCACAGGAGAAGCAGGCTCCCTGTATTCAGTTCTAGTCCCAACCCAAGGCAGCAGGGAGCTGCAGCTACAGAAAATCCTGCTTCAGCTCTGTAGCTCTGAGTTGGAATACGTTCAGTCACTCAATGGGGGTGGCATATGCATAGTTTAGTCAGTAGAGGTGCTGTGAGTGGGTGGAGACTGCTCAGTGAAGATGGAATCTTCAGATGTTTTAGCTGTCACGTGAATATTTTTAAAAGGTTTATAATTTAGTCGCATTTGCACTAATTTTCCCCCACAGTACAGGTATATTCCTGATATAAAGGCTGCCAAATTTCCAGTTCCTGCTCCAAAGCATAGGGCCCTAGAACTTCTCAAAGAAAAGCTCATCATAATTTTGTTAATGATTTAAAACAATGATTATTCCACTACTTTGTTCCTGGAAACAGCTGAGCCATTTTGGCTGAAAAACTTAAAAAAAAAAAAAATTAGCCAGAGGCAGATACCTGGAATGGAAAATGTCATTCCATACAATTACAGTTTGACAATTTTTAATCATCTGAAAACAGAATCTTACATGGGAAGGGTCCGGCAACGCTACCAGCTCTAGCTATATTTGTATAATATTTTAATGCCGCTGAACCCTTACGCCCAATAAAAAAAATCCAAGGAAACATTTGTAGAAGTATTATTCAGCTTTTGCCAGTTGGGCTACCTGTTAACAACTCAGTGTTTATACTGACCTGTTCAAAATTTCTGTTGCTTCCTCGTTCTTCAGCAGTAACAATGCTACAGCATTTGGATTGCAAACATCATAGAGGAATGTATAAAACCAGAATAGAAAAAACAACCCCAAATCTTCCCTATCACTGTAATTTCCATTACCTTCTTGAAGCTGTCAGGTTCAGTCCCTGAGTGAAGGACTTCACAGGAATCCTGATCTCTCCCACTCCCCCGAGAAATAGCACATCAACCTAGAAATCTGATGCCACTTTTCCTTTTCTTACCTCAAAAAAATACTACTCAGCTTTGCCTTAGGAATCCTGCAAGAAAGCAGAATTCTACTAGGCATTATCACTATCTGCAGGGAGTAATGTCCATTGTAACATATACCAAAGGGCTTGATAAAGTCTCTTGCTCATGAAAAAGAAACATTCAACATGTGTAATTTTGTTAGTACAATTTCAGAACATTCTGCTCATTCAGTGAACCACAACCACCTACCTGCAGTCGTTCATGTTCTTTAATAAGGCGATCATATTCTTTTTTAAGGCCTTCAGATTGCTTTTTAATTGCAGTCACTTCATTTGTTGCCTTGGAAAGGGCTATAAAATATAGAAGTAGATTTATCAGATACTTTAGTCACTGCATTTTGATATGAAAAAACATCTATGCAATAATGGTACAGCTATATTTAAGTTGATTGTGAGAGTTCTCTGTAGAACATGAAATTCAGAAGTATTACACTGGAAAGGTTCAGAAGTAAAGGAAAAAGCATAAAGAAAAATCCTTATAGCAAAATAAAGGAAAAAAAAGGCACTGAATCTGTGCCTCTATAGCTCTACAAGGCTGGAAGGAACATAATGATCATCCTAATCTGACTTCCTGTTAAAACACAGACCATCAAACTTCCCCAGAATAATTCCTAAATCATATATATTAGAAAAAAAAATCCAATCTTGATTTTAAAATGGCTGGCATAATCCACATGACTTTTGGTAAATCCTTCCAATAGCTACTCTCATAATATACTGTTTAATATACTGTATGAGTTATTATCTTTCCTTTTTAGATTTGTTCAGAAAAGAAATACACTTGTAAACTGATGCCATATAAAGAACTGAACCATCTATTGAACTGCCTGATTTTTGATGTGGTCAGCTTTCTGTCTGACATCACATTTAGTTTTTACATCCAAACCTAGACAGTGTAAAGTGATTTGAACCAACGATTTCAGTTATTTGAGAGATTTGTTGTTACGTTCCATCAAGATGTGTTAGACTGTAGGAAAGCGCTAGCGAGCTATAATCTTTCTCTCTCTCATCATTCCACAATTAATAACCCATTCATACCAAACAGTCTCAAGAATATGGAGAGGTAACTTCCTGTTATTAGACCACAGGTTTCCAACAAGGTATAGTGATTTTTGTCTCCCCCCCCGCCCCCCAGGTTTTAGGAAAATAACAATTTTTGCTACTGCTTTTGGATATTAGGGAGACCATTTCCCAATCACCAAATTACTCTTTAGTTTACTTGTTTCATTCTGGAGAAATGTCAATAAAGTGTCAAATAGTGCTATAGGAGGGTTTAAGATCTGTTTGAATGTAATTTCTGTCGGAGACGGGATGTTTTGTATGTTTATTCCATTTGTCCATGTGCAGAAATACCTTATTTAGTGGTACCAGAAGTCAAGTTGTACAAATAATTTAAATTTTGTTACTTAAAAAGACGTTCCATGGGTTGCAGTATCTTGTGTGTCCATTTGCTTTTTGGAATAAAATCTAATTTGTCATATAATTAACTTAATTTAGATGGGAAAATATGTATTTTACATACATTCAGATTTTATTATTTTTCATTTGTAAAAAGTGGCATTCTAAAGTGTCGCAAACAGATTTTTTTTTAAAAATGTAGGCCAGTTTGGTTTATATTTCTTGTCTACCCAGATGTTACATCAAGCATCTTAAATGCAGGTATCTGCAAGCCTTACTTTTGCAAGTAGTCTAGCCCTACTGACATTAATGGGACTACTTAGCAAAAAGTATTACAGGACCAGGGAATATATTTCATAGTAACATATTCATTTCCATTTTACTAATGTGTTAGATCTTTCCTAAGCAAAAGTGTTACCCACTAAAGTGGTATGATGTGAAATTCCTTTGTGCTGAAGGAGATAGCTCCAAAACTAAGCTCCTTTTGACATAAGAAAGGAACCTGGGAATGAAATGGGATTTCAGAATAACAAAGCAGTTGTGTCCCTGGAAATCAAAAACATTTTAATTAGGAATGAAACAATCTCTCTCTGTGGGAGCTCCAAGCTCCTTTTTGGTCTTCCTCTATATCTCAACACTTGAGGCCCTTCAGTACAAGCAACAGCTTTATGACTAATAAGTGCTGAACAGAATTTTTAAAAGTTCATCAACAGGACTAAAAATGCCACTTTTGGGTGATAAAGAGTTCTCCTTTTCCACTACGGAGTGTAAAATCTGATTACATCTAAATTAGATTGACTTAGCTACATTGCTCAAGGCTATGAAAAATTGTGTGTCCTGTATGATATAGTTAGATTGACCTAACCCCGTACTGCACATGTAAGTAGGTAAACGGAAGATTTCTTCCACTGATCTAGCTATTGCCTCTCAGAGAGTTGCACTATGTATATCAATTATAGTGTAAATGGTTAACTGCACACTTAATGGGTGAGGCTTCCTGGTGCCAGTGGAGCAGCTTCCCGCTCGCCTGCAGGTTGCTGGCCCTGCTCTCAGGGAGGCTTTGCAGTCATGTAACTGCTAGGATTTTAGCAGTTTCACGGTTACAATTTAAAATGATTTTTACATCCCTAATATCATCAGAAAAAATCCACTTCTATCAACATAGGAAGCATCTATATAATACCTACAGTGCCATAGCTGTCCCACTAAGGTTGCTGTAGTGTACACATGGCCTTAGTATACTGCCTACATAGTACATACTAGCATAGGTAGCAAGAGACAGACTTCAAATCAGATTATCTACATTGCAATATAGGCAATTAACTATTAGCCTAAGAGGTTGGCCTATAAAGCCATTTTTAAAAGCAAGTCTAATAGTAGCAAAATTTAAAATGTGACTTTTTAGAAGAATACTTATTTGTTGTTCACCTTCCCTCAACCATCAGTATACTTAGAATAGCAGTTCTCAAACTTTTTGGCCTGTGGCCCATCCTGCTCACGCAGATCTTTCTGTGGACCACCAGCCAACCACCCATGATGACAAAATGGGTGCGAGAGAGGCTGGAAGTGTGGAGTCTGGTTGGGAGTTAGGGTGCAAGAGCGGACTGAGGGTGAAGGGGGAGGTAAGATGCAGGAGCAAGATGAGTTTGAAGGGTCTGGGAGGGAGGTGGCAGCAGTGGTGTGGGGTGGAGAGTCTGATGGGCACAAGAGCAGCATGGAGCTGTGCAGTTTTGGAAGGAAGGGGTGTGTGTGAGAGGTCTGGGTGTGTGCGGTCTGGGCATGAGGGACATGAAGAGTGCTTACCTGGTTCTGCGCCTCACGGGCTCCCAGGCACCGCCCCCCCATTGCTTCCACTGGCCATGATTCCAGCCAAAAGGAGCAGCGGGGAAAGCCTCCAGGCAAATCGTGTTCTGCATTGCTGTTTCTCTGGGGGGTGGAGAGGAAGTGGCAGTGTGCAGAGCTGTTTCCTTCCCCTGCATACCAGATCCAGCTTGTGAGGCTTCTTGCCACCTCCCTCCCCCTGCTGCAGTGGAAAGTTGATGCTCTAACCTTGTGGGGAAGACCTATAGGGCTGGAGTTAAAACAGGTGCAATACCTGCTATACTATTACTGTGACTTCTACTCAATGGACTTAAGAACATAAGAATGGCCATACTGGGTCAGACCTAAGGTCCATCCAGCTCAGTATCCTATCTGCCGACAGTGGTCCAGAGGGAGTGAACCGAACAGGTAATGTCTCCTGCCATCCATCTCCACCCTCTGACAAACCAAGGCTAGGGACACCCATCCTGGCTAATAGCCATTAATGGACTTAACCTCCATGAATTTATCTAGTTCTCTTTTAAACCCTGTTATAGTCCTAGCCTTCACAACCTCCTCAGGCAAGGAGTTCCACAGGTTGACTGTGTGCTGTGTGAACAAGAACTTCCTTTTAAACTTGCTGCCCACCCATTAATTTCATTTGCTGGCCTCTAGTTCTTACATTATGGGAACAAGTAAATAACTTTTCCTTATTCACTTTCTCCACACCACTCATGAGTTTATATACCTCTATCATATCCCCCCTTAGTCTCCTCTTTTCCAAGCTGAAAAGTCCTAGTCTCTTTAATCTCTCCTCATATGGGACCCATTCCAAACCCCTAATCATTTTAGTTGCCCTTCTCTAAACCTTTTCTAATGCCGGTATATCTTTTTTGAGATGAGGAGACCACACCTGTACACAGTATTTAAGATGTGGGCAGACCATGGACTCATAAGAGCAATAAGATATTCTCCGTCTTATTCTCTATCCCTTTTTTAATGATTCCTAAATGATCAGTGCCTCATTTCTTTGCCTCACTTCTGGAATTTCCTTTTTTATGCCTTCAAGACACAGATCTCTAGTGGGGATGTTAAATTTTGATTAACTGACTAATCGAATAGTCGATGCAATTTGCATCGACTGTTCGATTAGTCAATAGGGCGCTTCTGCCTTTGAAATGTAGCCATAGTCCTAGGGCTGTGGCTACACTTCCTAGGGCTGTGGCTATGCTTCAAAGGTGAAAGCGCTGCGGGTAGCACGGGACCAGTGGGGGATTCAAGCAATCCCCCACTGGCCCTGTGCTTCCTGTGGCGTTTCAAAGCGGCAGCACCACATGGAGCCCAGGGTCAGCTGGGTACTCCCCTGCTGATCCCGGACTCCATGCACTGCTGCCACTTTGAAATGCAGCGTACTGCCCAGAGTCAGGCTCCATGCGGCATTTCAAAGCGGAAGCACCACACAGAGACTGGGGTCAGCAGGGTGGGGATCCCCAGCTGACCCCGGGTTCAACACGTGGCTGCCACTTTGAAATGCTGCATGCAGCCTGGGGACACCCCAGCCAGCCCTGGCTGCATGCAGTGTTTCCAAGTGGCAGCTCCATGTGAAGCCCAGGGTCTGGCCCCAGGCTCCACATGACATTGCCACTTTAAGCCCTCCCTTCTCTCCTCCCCCCTTGCTGCCTCCTTCTGGGAGGAGGGGAGGGAGCGACTAGTTGCTTATCAGATAGTCGACTAGTCAGTCATATCCCTAGTCTGCAGACTCCAGCATATGAAGACAGACACTATTTACCTTCACATATATCCAAAGGATGATTGCATCATCCACATTATTTAGACATTTCACTGAATCTTCATTTGACAAATCTAGTTCAAAATAAACCTTTTTTTTTTTAAGTTCACTGAGGTCTCATAGCCCTGACTCATACACCTGGGATGAAATCCTGACTCACTGAAGTCAATGACAAAACTCCAACTGACAGTGATGCCAGGATTTCACTCTTTTTCACTATTATCCTCCTTTCAGTCCCCCTCTCTACCTGCTTTGTACTGGCCTCCTTTCATCCTTTAATATCATCTTGCCAGTATTAGTGAAA